ACACACACACACACACACACACACACACGCACACACACACACACACGCACGCACGCACAACCTTTCTCTCTCTCTTTCACTCTCTAATTTCTGAATTTTGTAAAAGATAATCTTTGAATAAATTTTGTAAAGATAAGCATTGCTATTGTTACTTGAATAGTTACTTGAAAAGTGAATTTTTGGCGAACTTTCACAAAAGACTTACCGAGAGCAAACACATTTCGAAAGAGCGCAAATAGTTGATCGTTTTGCCGTTTCGCCTCTCGTAACACTATAATTCCTTTCGTACTTTCTGTTTATAAAACTAGATCACTATTCGATATGAACTCACACCAGTACTTAGAGAATGCAGATAGACAAAAATCAGATAGATATTTGAGCGTCAGACAAGAACACGCGTGTGCACATATACACGCACACACGTATTTTTTATAAACGAGTGTGTGTGTGTGTGTGTGTATGTGTGCGTGCGTGCGTGCGTGCGTGTGTGTATGTGTGTGTATGTGTGTGTGTGTGTGTGTGTATGTGTGTGTGTGTGTGTATGTAGTAGCACGATGACAGTGGCAACGGTGATAGCTTACCACGACTTCCGCATACGTCGCGATCCATCCGCAAGCTTACGCGGTGACTTTTGGACTGACAGAAAGAAGGGTAGTTTCATTCGCCGCATCGTGCCACTACATCGCTGCCACCATTCGAGCATAGATGTTACTAACCGCTGCCAACGCCATCGTAGTCATCTGTTTCGCAACCACCCATCGTCTATTGTTTCGCGAAGCGATTGGCTCTCTCGCAGTACATTTTAAAATCCGCTTGGTATACTTGTAAGTGTAGATAGAACAACATAGAATTAAAAAAAAGAATTTTTACAATCCAAAAAATATTATATAATGCCCATTTTTATCAATATACATCAATTTTTAATCTGAGTTTACAACATATTCATTAGTTCTAAAAATTAGTAAAAGATAATAAATAAATTGGACTACGATTAAAGTTAATCTATATTGGTGGAAACGAGCATAAAACATCTTATAAGACATCTTATATTTCTTTCGATTTAAGAATATTTTATAATAGATAGCATATCTATTATTACAGACAGATCATTATTGAAGTTATATAAATATTATACATCATCATTATATCAATAGCTTCCGTCTCATATTCTTCCTCAAGCGTTTTCATATAATTTTTATTTTTATTTTTTTATAATTCGTCTTTTATAATTCATTATAGTTATCCAAAATAAGACATTTTAAAATTAGCCCCGGTTTTAAAATTAATTTTCTTTGCAGGGACTGTACGACAAATACGTCCTTAAGGCCCGGTTGTACCAACGTTACTTTAATTTTAAGTGAGGCTTAAAACTCTTTTTCCCTGTTTCTTTTCGGTTTTAAAACGAGAAAGAGAATTTTAAATTTCACTTAAAATCAAAGTAACGTTGGTACAACCGGGCTTAAGGATGATTAGACTTACAATCCCTGCAAAGAAAATTAAATTTGGAAATAGAGTAAAAGCATTAGATGTAAATCAGGCACTAATTTTTATATTTAACTTATATTTAACTTATATTTATATTAACGGACTACTTTTTATATTTAAATAATTATAATATTTTCTATTAAATGTACACATGAAAAGATTTTTTAACATTTGTTTTATCTCTTTCAAATGCCAATTCAATTTAATTTATTAGGAACAGAGCTACATATTTTATTAATGTCAATTTATTAACTAATTGAATATGCGAGGTTAACGAACAAATATATCTTTAAAAATTCATTCACAATGTAATATCATAAGAATTGTCTTATGACTTTCACAGTAGATAGCAAATAGCAGAATAGATTTTATGGAAAAAATCAACATTATGCTTGAAATTAAATCTGTCCGCGGATGTTATTTAATCTACTAACTATCTTATAACAATATTGTTATTGCGTAAATTTATTATGAAAATGTTTAAAAACTTATCAAATCTTATAAATGATGCTAATCCGAAAAGATTTATTTGTTTTAAGTATCGAAATAAAATAGTATACATGTCTATATGCAAAAAGTGTTACTATTCATAAGTTAATTGTTTTTATTGCTAAATTAATAACATTTAAGAAACAGAAGTAATAGCCGTAACGGTCAAAGCTAGATCTTTAATGATTAAATAATTCAATCTTAAATAATAACCTTAAATAATTCAATCTAAATTACTGTATATACTATATATGTATGTACTTGCATATAGGTATATCATATTTGCAGTCATTCGAATTGCGTGCCGAATTGATATTGCGAACTTATAGACGCAATTAAACTACTGTAATATCACGAATTAAATTGGCAAGCAATTTTAATAATTTGATGGTCAATCAGACATCCTAAAAAGATGTTAATATGCTGAAAAACTATAAATTTATTGCGAAAAATATTATTATACTTCGGTCGAAAGTTGAATCTGGATCTCTTGTATTCCATACGAACATAACATCTTTTTTCTCATTTAATAAAATTTTCTTTTTAATAAAATGCCTAATTGAGCAAAAATTATTAAAATTGCTTGCCAATTTAATTCATGATATTACTACAGTAATTTAATTGCGTTTAGTTCGGAAAAACAATTCGGCACATAAAATTACAATTCGTTCGAAAGATTACAATATGGTATGTATATGCAAGTACATATATAGTATATATAGTAATTCAGATTAAATTATTTAAGCATTAAAGCTCTAGCTTTGACCGTTACAGTTGTTACTTCTATTTCTTATTTTTGAATTTTCAAATGTATGGTCCAATAAAAAACTCTTATTTATAACGCTAAATATTTAATTTTCATTAATTTTGTTCATTAATTATTGATTTTTAACTATCACTAATTTCAAATAAACTTGAATGTATTAAAAATGTATTAAAATTGTATTATGATTCACGATTGGACCCTAGAACTAGTGTCATTCTAGTGAAAGTCGAGGAACAAGACAAAAAAAGCGCCATGTTTCAGTCTTATCGGAAACGGCTAATAATTCTTATTTATCTTTAATAAATAACACTTGCCAGAAAAATAAGAAAGAGATCAATATGGCTAAAATTAGACTGGCGATAATTATTTTAAGATAACTCAAACCGAAGCGAAAAACGTTCGCCCCGGCGCGGGCGTCACCGTCTTGACAAACATGGTACTATATTTATAAAAATTGCTCTAACTTATTTACTTACATTCACTAACATATTAACAAACTGAAACGTGATGGCATCACGAAGAGGACCGCTTACATCTCGACTCTTAGAGTGATTCTACCTAGAACTAAATCAATTATAATTTCGTTATATATGTATATTACAATATATGTATATATTACAATATATTACAATTACGGTATATATGTGCAATTCATTTTTATTATTCTTATGAAATGTAGTAACGCCACCAAAAAGGATAAAATATTTGGTAAATTAATTTGCAATTATTGTAATATATGTCTAATTGTGAATAATTGTTATTATTTTATTTAAATCAAATTAAAACACATAAAATGGTAATGAAATGAAATAAAATCATAATGTAACCTTTATGACCAAATTTTTTTTTAAAGAATGGTCCTCAACTAGTGCTTTTATTCTATATTTAATATTTACACTTCACATAAACTATATACATATAAATTTGTATGAATAAGATTATATTTTTGTTTAATAATACATTTTGTAGTTTATTTATTTTATTTGTTATTATTTTTATTGTTAAAAATTAAAATCTTAAAAATGATAAAAAAATATACATTTTTCTTTTACAAAGTACTTAAATATTCAAAATAATTTATGCAAAGTTTCATTGCGATTCATTGATTACAAGTTACAAAGATATAGAACAAATAAATATTTTGTTTATTTATTGGACAATTACTAGGTGTATAAGCTTAAATCCGCTGTTTACTCATAGGTAGCATTAGTGAGCGTACAAAGCTACCCTGGACATACAACACATTTTTTTTATGTGTTTGACATCTGTCAACATTAACCAGTGCACATCATCAGCAATTTCATACAACAACATACATTTTTTCTTTCGTAATGATGTCTAGTTTTTTTTTTACTAAAAAAAAAGCATATGCGGGAAGCTTTGCTTTTTTTATTTCAATTTGAAGAAATTGGCTGCCGAATTTCATCGAATGCTTGTGGAGGCCTATGATGACAATGCTTTATCGGAAACAACGTGCAGAGATTGGTTTCGCCGGTTCAATGAGAACAATTTTGATCTGAGTGACAAGAAGCGTGAAAATCAGCCCAGGTTGAGGACTGTCAATTGAAGGCTCTTTTGGACGAAGACGATACCCAATCGCAAAAAATGCTTGCCGAGCAATTAGGTGTTTCTCAAGCAGCCATTTCCATGCGGCTACATGCCATGGGAAAGATTCAAAAGATCGGAAAATGAGTGCCGCATGAACTGAACGATAGATGGAGCGACGCTAAAACACATGCCAAATTCTGCTTGCCAGACAAAAAAGAAAGTCGTTCTTGCATCGGATTGTGACAGGCGATGAAAAGTGGATCTATTTTCAGAATCCTAAACGCAAGAAATCTTGGGTTGATCCCGCCCAACCATCAACATCTTCCTCAAGACCAAATCGCTTCGGACGGAAGACGATGCTGTGCGTTTGGTAGGATCAGGAGGGTGTCATCTACTACGAGCTGTTAAACCCTGGTGAAACTATTAATGCTCATCGCTACCACCAACAACTGATCAAATTGCACCGTGCTCTGCGTGAAAAAGGCCGCATTATCGGAAAAAACATGACAAGCTGATTTTCCTCCACGATAACGCACCATCGCACACGTCAACAATGTCCGTCCGAAACTACTTGGAGACACTCAACTGGGAAGTGCTACTCCATCCCATTTACTCACCAGACTTGGCACCTTCTGACTATCACCTGTTTTCGTCGATGGGCCACGTGCTCGCTGAGCGGCACTTCGATTCTTACGAAGACGTCCGAAAATGGCTTGATGAGTGACTCGAAAGATGAGGAATTTTTTTGGCGTGGTATATACAAATTGTCCGAAAGATGGGAAAAAGATATATAATTAGCGAGGGCAAGTACTTTGAATAAATTTGTTTTTGCTTCCTAGGAAAAAAAATATGTTTTTCTGACTAAAAAACAGCGGATTTAAGCTTATACACCTAGTTCATGTATCATAATATAATTCTACGTAAATGATCTTAAGTACATAATGTACTTATATTAAAAAATTGAAATTTTTATCATTTGCTTTATAGTTTTTATTTTATATTTATGTACATTTCTATATATTTTTATTAGAACACAGA